CCCCCCCCCCCCGCCCCCCCCGCCTAAACCCACTAAAACTTCCAAACCCACCAAAACTTTCAAACCCAACTAGACCCACCACCACCACACACACACACACACACTAAAATCACAAACCCATTGAAACCACCCCTAACCTCCACCACCACTGAAACCATCAACTGGACCAAACCCATCATCAACCAACATCACTACATCACAGAAATTATGTCACACCCCATTTTGAGAGATCCTCTTTGACTTTTCAGAAATGGAAGCATTACTCAATACGTGGCAATACCTGTATTTGTAATGCTGCAAAGCATTTTAAAAATCAATAATGTCACCTAATGCCACCATCAAAGTTCCTGAAACTAAAGATTTTCTTGAGTGTATTGCGTATTATAATAAATGAAAATATTAAAAATATGGACAAATATCATTTCACCAAAATATGTTCACAATCTAAGAAGAACGTCAAAATCAATGTGTTTTTCAACTCACTTTGAAAATTCATACTCTCTGCCAATATAACAACATAATAAATAGTTCACATGTGCTATGAGTCAACAACAACATTTAAGCAATGTCAGGCTATCAACAACATTTAAGCAATGTCAAACTATCTACAATATTTAAGCAATGTCAAGCTGTCTCACAACAACTACGCAGTGTCCAAATCAACAATATATAAGTCGTGTCAAACTATCAACAACTCTAGCATAGTGGATATTACTCAAATCACAAGCTTTTCAACAAATTACAAGTTTTTCAATAAATCACAAGCTTTTCAATAAAACATATTTGATTCATAGTTTAAGCAATTCAACTCAAATCAATTTAGCAAAATTGATTTCTCACATATAAGAGAATAAACTTGATATAACATATACTTTTATTTCTGAGTATTATGAAGCAGTATATTTCACTTTTACCACTGACAGATATCATTCATTCTTTACGGTCGATCCCTATGTGTAACAAAGGTAGTAGGCTCCCACCCTAACAAATAGCATATAGGCAAACGCAAGTGAACATTGACCTAAAATTATTCAATTGATGCAAATGAATGTATATGAATATATATTTGATGCTCTACTTTGATTGTATACGATGATCATACTCTGACTTTGTTAATCTTTTCAAATTAATATATCTCGGTCACATTAGGAATTACTTTAATTCACTCTAACATTTGTTTATAATATGTAAATAACACCACCAGTCATCTAACTATTATTTTCAATACTTAATGAAAACTATTTCAGTTTTTATATAAAATTCTAGCATCAAACATTAATTTACAACTTGAAATTTAACAATTACATTTATTTGCTTTTTTTTTATCTATTGATTTCAGCCTCATAATTTCAATAATTTAATTTATGCTTTCTTAGCATGGTAGTATTTGCACCATCCAATCTAATCTACTGGTCATAAATACTCACATGTAATTAACATTTCACACAAGACAATCTCTTTTATACTTGATTAACTATATAATATTATACTTAACACCATTATAACCATGTAATTTTCATAACTATTAATCAAAATTTTCTTTTGAACACCTAATACACATCACTACTTCAAAACTGTTTCACTATAATTCTTAAACATATAAATTCTTAACTTCATGCAAGATAATTATTAAAAGCATACTTAATATTTACATACTCCATGTAAGTTTAATCTAGCATATTGATTATGCTTTAATTGAAAATAAGATATTAAATTTCCGTACCGACTATTGCTTGCCGATTTGATTATAGCGAAACCCAATTTCACCACTTGATCTCAACTTCATCCCTCGGTTTCTTCTTCTTCTTTGTTTTTTTTTTTCCCAGTTACTCCTCACCAAGTCAGTTTGCCCATTGTGCTCTCCTATTCATTTTGTTTCCCTTATTTTTTCATGTTTCCTACAAGAATGGTTGCTCATCCTTTCCTCATGTACACATGGCACCCCATAATTAACGAGAGCAACATGACCACCTTCAAAGACACCCAAGTATTTTCATAAGCCACCACATGCTTCTTTATCTCCAGCACACACACAAGGTAAGGACATCATTACTTGCTTTGCTTACACACACACACACACACGTGTTATAGCCATGCACCAAGTTGTTTCTAGTTGGCCTACCAAAGAAAACTTCTTTGTTTGTACACATCTAGCTATATATATATTCCTATATATACACACAACTTAA